GCTGCTTTAGTGTATGTTTTGTATTTTTTGAGTTTGACTGGGTTGTTGAGACTTACTGAGGTTGGTGGACTCCAGTGCTGGTCACGGGCCTGGGTTTGGGGTATGACAAAATAAATAGATGCACGTCTCTAATTCCATATCATAATTCAGAAATTGAATGACAGAAGATAACAGAAAACCCGAATGCGAACACATGTATAGAAAGTACTGTCACTCACTAGGCACGTCAAAACGAGTACCGAGCCTCTGGCAGACAGTTCATTGCTCCCTGCGTGCTTCCTCTAGAGTTTTTACAATCACCAAAACGTGAGTCAGAATCAGAATCAAATTTTATTCTAAATAATTCAATTACCAGAAATGAACCGGATTTTAAAACTCTCAAACTGGCTTAAAACGAACTCCCGGGCCTCCTAACTGAACTAAACCAATCTTAAACCACCAAGAACCGGGCTAAACCCAACCAAAACCCCATTGAACCGAGCTGAATCGGGCCCATTTCCCATGAACCGAGCCAAACTGGGCTCAAATCCACCTAAACCGGAGTGAACCGGACTTAACCCTTTACACCCCATGCAAAACCAGTTCTCAACTATAGAGAATTTGACTGAACCGGGCCCTCAAGCCCTTGAACTAGCCCAAAAAACTAGAGAACCGGCCAGTTTAACACTTCATCCCCACAGAAACAGGTGAACCAGGGTGGTCCATCGCCCAAACCCGATTCAGGCACCTCCCTCAAAGTCCTCTGAATTGGGAACTGGCCTGACCATTTCGGTCTAGCCCAGTCTAAGGCCTGAACCGGCTTGGTCAATGCAGACTGGGTTGAACCGGCCCAGTCAACATTGGACTGACCTGAAAAGCTTCCAGGTCCATCACTCTCACCCAGAAACCTGGGTTGCAGACCCGAGTGTCTACAACGAGCCTGAACACCCCCAATCACCCAAAAACTCATAAATTCCAACTTACCAAACTGGTTTGAAGCCTTCTAAACTCAATTCCGAAGTCCACGAGCTGCCTAACAACTCTTAATTGGAGAAAATCCAGCCGAAAAATTGAAAATTTTCCCAGAAAATTCGTTCAGTGCTGACAATCTTCCCCGCTCCTTTCCCCTTTCTAACTTGTTTTTCTTCTCAAATTGCTCACCTTCTCTAGCTTGTCTCTCCTTTTCGTCTCAAATCCCCAAATTATTTTAGCTGTCTCACTCTTATTGGAGCGAATTAGCTTCGAGGACCTTCGGCTGATTTCCGGCTAAAAGCCTCCCCCCCTGTCACAATCCAACCCCTGAGAGTTTTAATTCCTTCAATTTACTCCTCATATTTTCTAATTTAGTCCCCTAATCTTTTAATTTGTTCACCACACTTTTTTTTTAAGGCCATTACAAAAATCGAGGAATAATTTATACTAGTTCAGATTAAATTTTTATTAATTCATGTTAATTTTGCTGATAAGATGACTTAGTTAGTTTAGTAAAAATAAGACTACATTGACATTAGAATTTATCTAAACTCCAACCTAGAAGCTCGCTGACCCACCTATAGATTATTTTTCATAAAAAATAACTATAAGTTATTTTATGAACGCGAGCATACCACAGTATACCTAACTTGATGATGAGTATATAATAATATTTTGAGAATTTTCGGAATACGTGTGTAATATAACTTTTGACTTAAAGTAGAGAGATTGGGAAATGACTTAGTTATGAATACATCTCATATTTGCACTAGCATATTAATGCATTCATACACAGTTCTAGCATGTCATTGATAACATATGTGATTCAATTCTAGGAAAGATATATCGACCAATCAGTGAGGCCGACAGGACTGAGTTTGAGCACACACAGTATCAGTAGAGGTGAGTGGTTTTTCTCCTAAATTCAGTATTTTTATAAGACAATAAAACTAATAGTTTTCTTACAAATAAATGTTTTATTTTAAAACCAAAGGTTTTATTTTTCTAGAAATACTTTTCAGTTTATATGCTATAATTATTTTACTAAGTGAAATGGAAACAGGAATCTCATTTTATGTTATACGTTATGTATATAAGTGTTACAATTCATCCGAATAATTCACTGGGTAGTCACGTTATTGTGGCAGTACTACACGAATTATTTGCCGATTGGGGCCTTCAAACACCAATAAGTCATGTGTGTTCATCCATGGAGGTGGTGTCTTATGAAATGAGTATTATGACCAGTAGCACCTAGTAGATTCTCATTATGTTACGTTTATGTCTACGTGCATGTCAAACCTCAGTTATTTATAAAGTCGTTATATTTTTGCTTCTATCCTTATTTATTTTACAACATTTTTGCTATGATTGAATCTGCAGGTTCAACGAGTGAATTAGCTTTGTTTCTAAATTTTGATCAATGAATTTTTATCTCTTAATGTGTTATTCTATATCAGTTATACTATCTGTATGAGCTGTTTTTATTTATAGTATTATGCATTATATTCCTGTTTCACTGGTTTTAGTTAGAGGATCATTCGATGGGACGTAAGTCTCACCACTTATTTATTTTTCAAGTTTCAACAGTAGAGAGTATTTTGGGTCTAGAGAGGTTGGACCCCACTCATGTTAATAGTAGCCGGTTTGGATTGTTCATTGAGGAGTGAAAGTTAAATAGTTGTATTATATGTAGATATTATTTTGGAGAAGAGAAGTTATATAAAGTAATTATGTTTTCAGTTATGATAATAACTTAATTCTACAGTTATGTTATGTCAGATGATATTATATTATTCAATTATTTGAATATGAGTTATACAACAGATTTAGTAGGTACGGTAGTCGAATAAGGTTTGACCTTCTCCGGTAAATCCTGGATATCAAAAGTTGCTAAACTCTATTTCACTGTCATACCTCGCTCGGGTTATGAGGTGGGGTGTGACACTCCCTTTTCAAGGCCTAATTTTCTTTTGAAGGGTGGGGGGTGTCCATTACCTGAGTGAGAGAGATTCTTTTTCAAGGCGCCTTGCTCCTAGTTTCTATTTGTATCTAAAAACTTTTTTTTATTTCGTGAAATGAAAAAGCTGTTTGACATGTTATATTTTAAAATTGTTCAAGAAACTATTTATGTTTTTAGATGATGGTAAAAGCTGTTTTAAATTATCCTAAAAAGACTATTTTGAGTCATGAATAAAAGTGATATGGAGGGGTGAAAATGGGTTAAGCTGAGCTAATCTTAATTTAAATTTAAATTACTTAAATTTAAGTCAACTTATAACTTGCAGATCATTTTGGCTCAAGCTTGTCTCATACTAAATTCATGAACAACTCAACTTAGCTCGACCGGCTTATTAACTCATATATATCAAAAAATTTAAAAATAAATAATTTATATTCTATTTAAATAATATTAATAAATAATAATTTTATAATATTTTTATTGATCAAAATAAACTATTAAAAAAAAAAAAGGAGAGAGTAACCGGATTGTGCAGTGAAATGGCAGTAGCAGTGATAGCCCACGCTGCAAAGTTTTCTGTCCTAGAAATTTGAGATATGCCGTAGGGATTGACTTGGCAAAGAAGACAACAGTTTTGGTAATTTTTCAATTTTACATTTTGATTAAGTTAAATTCATTTATCATATTTTTAGTCCTTTAACATTATTTACTTTTATTTTATACTTTTAATTGATTTCTCTAATTTTAAATTTTTTTTAATTCTATTTTTAAAATTTTAATTTATTCATTAAAATTCTCTATTAAGTACAAAATTAACAAATTGTCTTTAAAACTGTGTACATGGTTTCAAATTTAGTGGGAGTTTCAAAATTGGATGAAATGCTGTATATGAAATTGTTTTTTTCTTTTTCACATTTGGCTACAAACTGATAGCAGAAAAAGAAACTTTATATTCTAGTGGCTTCAGATGTGAACCCAATAAATGGGTGAAAAGTGATGCATTCAATTTGGAAGCTTTTTCTTGGATGCCTATGATTGAGTTCCAATAGGCATCAAATTATTGATTTCATTTGGTATTACACTAAGAAGTCTTTAAGAATTTTTTTAATGTTCTTTTTAATAAAATATGATTATGAAGTATGCATATCCATAGCATGCCCGTATTTGGGCATGTTAACTCACGCCATGCAATAATGCATTTTTTTAATTCTTATGCTATATTATTTTTTAAAATAAAAATCTTATTAAAATAATAATTTATCTTCTTTCTTAAATGGTTATTTAATGATGAATTATTTCAATTTTGTCATTATATAATTTTCTTTCAAAATAGAAAAAGAATTAAAAGATATTTAACTGTATTTTTTAATTTTAAAAAACGTAATTTATTTAAGAATTAAAAAGAAAAGTTAATTTATTCGTAATATCTCAAGTAATAAATATAAATTATATATATATATTGAGTTAGCTTATAAAGTAAATAATTGAATTAAATAAATTAAACTTTTTTTAATTCAAAGTGTGGCTTATATTTTATATAAATTAAAAAATTTAATTCATATATTATTTATTTAATATATAAACTTAATTTATTAAATTAATTATACAACCAAATCATAAATCGCTCACGAGCTGGCTGAAGTCATTTACACCCTAGTGATATGAGTCGATGAACTTTTCAAAATTACAAGTCTCTTGTCGTTGTTTGGATTTTGCAGAAATAGATGGGAAGTTTTGGTGGTTCGGACCAAAAATTTAAAGAAGAGAGCAACCTTAATTAGTTGGCTGTTTGGTCCCCACAGCCTCAGATTCATAGATTGTATTAAAAAATGAAAACACAGCGGTTAGGCCGTCAAGGAAGAAATATGGACAGATCAACTTGTCACGTATTATTCCTCTATTAATTTTCATTTCCAGAAAGTAAATATTTTATAAGTATTCAAAAACCTTTCAATTATGACGCAATATTTCTACATCAATATATTATATCTAAAATAAAATGGGAATTCTTAATTTATTCAAAGACGAGGCAAAACGAATTTACATGGAGTTTCGAGTTAAATTTGTTAAATTTTTAAATACAAAACTAAATTCTTCCCAAAAGGGGAAAACAAAAAATCAAAGATATATTAATGTCACTAACAAATCCGAACTTGCGGCGGCGACGCCTGCTCTCCCCCTTCCCGCCACCGCCGGACTCCGGCAACAAAGCCCGGGGTGTTACCGCTTCCTCTCCCAACAAAACGGCCGCAACCTCTCTCATCGTGGGCCGGCGAAGCGGGTCAGGGTGGCAACAAGCCAATCCAAGCTTCAGCAGCCCCTCCATCTCCCCCGCCTCGTACTCCCCTTTAATCCTCTCATCCGCCGCCTCTCCTACGCTCCCCTCGGCGTACTTCTGCCTCACCCAGTCCACTAGCACCACCTCCTCCTCCCTCTCCTTCGCCGCCTCGATCGGCCGCCTCCCGCACGCGACCTCCAGCACCACCACCCCGAATCCGTACACATCGCTCGCAGCCGTCGGCGCAGTCGCCGTCGCCAGCTCCGGTGCCAGGTAGCCTAACGTGCCCACCACCCTCGTCGTCTTCGGCGCCTCACCCTGAGCGTACAGCTTGGCTAGCCCAAAATCCCCCAACCTCGCTCTCATATCGGAATCTAACAGAACATTGCTGGACTTTATGTCCCTGTGAATCACCACCTGGGCAATCACACCACGATCTGTCAATTTTCAATATACTTCTAATACAATTTTAAAGAGTAAATTTAAGGGTTTGCTCCTTACTGTTTCTTAATCATCACATGACCCCCCAAATTTTGTTCCAAACTAAACTTGTATTTTCAATTAAAGCAAACAATTTGGAATTTTGTTTAATATTCCAATGGAATTTTGGTTTAGATCTACCTCTACTTCTATTACTAGTGGGTATAAATGTCACACTTCTTCTAAAGCAAGGGTTATGTGTGCAATGCCGATACCGGACCAAAGAGTTAGATGGGGATTTAAAAGCTAACTTCCGTAATTTTTAAATGTTAGTAGGAATTTAACCAACGCCGTCAAAAAGACTCGAATCGCAAGCCTACCTGGTCCCAACCGTGGTGGAGGTAGTTCAAGCCCTCGGCGACGTCGGCGAGCACTCGCCGCCGTTCAATCCAGCTCATTAGCTTCTTGGGTTTGTCGAAGATCCACCGATTGAGGCTTCCGTTGGGCATGTAATCATAGACAAGCATCAATTCATTCCTCTTTCGGCACCACCCTCGCAATTGGACCAAGTTCTTGTGTTGCAGCCTGCCCATACTCGAAATCTCCGCCATGAATTCTCTGAGTCCTTGCTTCGAATCGTGGCTGACGCACTTCACGGCGACTTCAGCGTTGTTGGGTAGTTTTCCTCTGTATACTCGGCCGAAACCCCCAGCTCCAAGTAGCTCGTCTTTCGAAAATCCGTTGGTGGCTTGGCTTAGCTCTTCGTAGGAGAATCTATGAGGCCAGTATTCCATTTCCCAATCTTCGATTTCATCGTCTTCCAGCCCTTTCTTCTTGTTCGTTCGCCAAAACCAGTAGAGAGCAGAAAAACAGAGTATCAGAGTCAGAACAGAGCCCACAGTAATTCCAGCAATGGCTCCGGAGGACAACGAAGAGGACGAATTTAAGGGCAAGAACATGGGTAAATTCGTGGTGTTGATGTCCCTGGCAACGCCGGTGTCGCTGAAGCTCCACGCTAAAATCCTCTGTGGCTCGACCCAGGTGGTCTTCGACGCAGAGAAGCCAACGTACATTTCTGCAGAGATATAGTTAGCAATCACTTGATCTTTGTATGACAGGAGGGGTTTTGCTGGTCGAGAAACACCAACAGGAGCAATTGTGACATTAATTTCATATCGAGGCCCATCAAATTCAATCCAAGCCCGAATATTCTGTCCATTTCGCATGGTCACCGGGACGAACCCACCGCTGGAATTGTAGTACCCGGCATCTGCATCTACCACGGATTCGGCGTTATTGAGATCAATTCCGATGTGGTTGTCATTCCGGTCGTTGAATTCTGGTTTTGCCCGACGTCAAACTCGACGGCAAGGATTGGGGCGACAGAGGGGACGGTGGCGTTGGAGAATATCCCGAAATACTGACCCGAGATGGCGCCGTCTGGTTGGGTTGAGTTGGAAAGCACGAACACGAGGCCGAACCCGGGGCTCGTGCTGATCTCGGGCAAGATCGAGAAGATAAAAGAAGTTGAAAATGAGGAAAGTGTGGTGGAATTTGAACCGGGTTTCATCTGGATTTTCGAGACGTGGAAGACCCGGCCGATAGAGAACTGGTTCGAGTCGTTGGTGAGTTGGATCACCGGAGTCTCGATTCGGGCGTCGTCGATGAGGTTGATGGAGCCGGTGGAGGTGACATTGAAGGAATTGAAGAGGAAGTCGAGGGCAAAAACGGAAGGGAATTCTGCGAGGTGGAGGAGGAGGAGGAGGAAGAGAAAGAGGGGGAGAGTCCGATTAGATCCCGGGTGCAGAGGGCCGTGGTCGCCACTGCCGGGGAGGCGGCGGAGACTGGAGAACATGAAAGATGGGTTCATTTGATTTGACTGGTCTATGGTAGGCCTAGAGTTGCTTTATTACCTTCCACTCTGACTTTAACGTGTCACTTTATTGCATTCTTCTTTGGGGGAAAAGAGCAACTCTGAGTTCAATCAACATGCAGAGTGCATCTTTTTTATAAAAGTCAAATTAAAAAATCATAATTTAACATTTTAAAAAAATTTAACTATTTATGACTAAATGAAAATAAAAAATATAAAGGGTATTTTGAAACTGGAAGGACCCTAATCCAACATTTTTTATATATAATGATTGTCATTGCTTTTCTTTTTCTTTTGGAGGATTCGCATTGATATCTTAGTATTTATACTTATTGTTTAGCTTTTAAACTTAGGATTTTCTCGACTTTAATCTCTCTTCATTCAACTTTTTAAAATTGAAATGCAAATACCCATATTCAAAAAGTCAGAGTAGCAAAGGTGACAATCATAAGATCAGGCCTTAATCATGGGATTATGGTTAGGGCGTCACTCATAGGCTGTTCTTTTTGGTTAATAATTATAAACTTAAAACCAATGTAAGGTATGTTAATATTTTTATCATGTATTTGATGATAAGTTTTATTTCAATGGTTTAGTAATTTTAACAATTATTAATAAATATTATATTTTTTTACTCAATAAGTTAGAATTTATCATTAAAAAATCTGTTTTTACCTAACCAACTTGTCCTGCTCTCGCTGATGAAATTATTAGGAGAAAAAACTTAAGATAGAAAGCCCAAATGAATGAAGAAGAAAAGAGGATTTACTTTACCAAAGAATTTTATAATAAAATTAATCTTCAACTAATGAAGACAATTATTAATCAGATACTGAATGAATCTGATGCATGGGATGATTTGATATCGTGCAATTAGACGCGTGTTTCATTTTCATATTTGAAGAGGATTGCATAGAAAAAGATTATAAAATATTTTTGTAAACTAAAATTTTGCAATTCTTTCTTTCGTAAAATTCTTTCAATTGTTAAATTTCTCAAATGGGTAAATTGGAAGCTTTGAGTCCATCTAGAAGCAAGCTGTTAATTTTCTTTCAATTGTTAAATTTTAAATTGGGTAAATTGGAAGCTTTGAGTCTATTTAAAAGCAAACTGTTAATTTTGTAACATGTTAAGTTTTGATTTAATAAGTTAGTGATTTTAATAATTAATAAAATAATATTAAACATTAATTTTAATATTCATTAATAATTCTTTTTAAAAAATTTATATTTGTGATTTATGATTCAGTGATTTCAATGATTATTAAAATAATATTAAATATTAATTTTAATATTCATTTAATAATTCTTCTAAACAATTTATATTTTTGGTCCTTGATATAATACTTGACATTTAGCCAGGCCAGTGAGGCCACAAGTCAACTTACATTTATTTCGTTTTTCATCGGTGCACGAGTATCCCAAGTCAATTAAACAATTCCACAAGTTCACATTGATATCCGTAATTATGAGGTTTCAGTTTCTATGCTTTGATTTTTCCTTCATGCATCAAGTCATTCTCTCTCAAGCTTTTCTGCATATTTTCTTCGCATTCTCTCCTTCCCCTTCTTCTCTATTTTGGTTCCTCCTCTGTCATCCACCGTCTCCTTTTGGGTTTCTCCGGTGAAAGGATAACTGGGTATAACACTTCAAGTAACGACATCCATCACGGGATAAGCCTAAGAAGACTGTAATTGATGGAAAAGTCAGAAGAAGAGAAAGGGATTAGCCAGTATTCGTGGCAATCCAAAAGAGTTCCATTTCTATTACCCAAAAACAAGCTGCGATTGTCTACAATCAGTCATGGCTCTACTGACTGATAAACAACAGTTATTTGTGATCATTGATATTGTTGAAATTCATCTCAACCGTTAAAATAAATTAATATAAGTACATCTTTATTTTGTATTGTACTATATCAAATGACATTTTATCATCCTTTTAATTTTATACAATTCTATTTTTTAACAATAAAAAGTAAACTATATTAATTCTTTTTTTTTATAATCAATCACTAGCTGCCCTTCCGTTTTCTGGCCAATCTAGCGGAGACCGGTGATTGAGTAATGGCCGAGGAGATGAGTAGCAGCTGATGAGGTGAGCAGTAGCCAGCGGTTCATTCGCCGAAAGCAGCTACAGTCGACGGAGGACGATGAAGTCGACTGCCTTTTTAGTCATTGATCGGCCATGTCCGGCCACCTCAAACTCGCGGAAATCCACAGAAGCATTTCCAATGGTCACCAGTGCCCAGAACTTGTTGGCAAGTTGATGAGGAAGCAGCCGATTGTAGTCAGTCTGCCCGAAATTGAAAAGGCATTAGATTTCATCCTCCTCGTCCGACTGTAACTCCATCGGCGAACGAATCCCTGGCTACCATTCATCTCTTTGGCGGCCACCGGTGAGAGGCCAGATTTGAACCACCATAGACAGAGGCTGTCAATCGATCTTTTTTGTTTGGAGAAAAAAAAAATAGTTGCATTTCATCCTGGCTTTTGTAGCGGTAACATATTGCTGCACTATGGATTTGCTTGATCTAGCTAAAACCAAGCTGTATTGCAGCAACCAAACTGTTGAACAGAGAGAGAGAATATCAAGAGAAATAGGAGGGATGAAAAAGAAAAAATTATAATGAAAAATAAAACTTAATAATATTATATAAAAAATATACGAGGGCAATTTCGTTTGTACATCTAGTACAGCAATGGAAAAACCGTGGTACTTAAAAAAAAAATCATCTGAATGGCTGAGATAAGTTGTTAGAATTTATCAATGGTTATAAATTAAGTGACTGGCATACATCCAGTACATTGAATGACGGGTGCTAGAAAAACCCTTGGCGAAACGTCCACGTCATCACTATTCTGCTAAACGAAACGGTGAGCATTCATGTACCGGGCATGGCTACAGTCAGTCAATCCATGTACTGCATGTACATGAGTCAATTACTTTAAGACCGTTGATAAATTACAAAGATTCATCCTCACCGTTGAGACAAGTACGATGTCATTTATTTTGAGTACAGCTTATTTTTTTATTTTTTTAATAGTACAGCAATGTTTTGTCACTGTACTAAGTGTAAAGACAAAATTACCCCAGTGAAGCTTGGCCAGGCCGTGCAATTAATGCTCAAGAATTTAGGAAGCCGTTCGATTGATGCTCAAGGTCGTCCAGTAATCTTCGATGAAACCCACCATCAACAATTTCCGTGCGCCATGCTTGCCTGGTGCTCATCCTCCTGTGCAAGCTCGATGGCCTCTCTCTCTCTCTCTCTCTCTCTCTCTCTCTCTCTGCGGCAGTTCGGCTCTAGCCTCTGGGAAATAATAAGCTTGACCGACAGGCTCTCTCTCTCTAGCAGTTCAGCTCTGGCCTCCCAAAAATAATAAGTTCTACGATTTCTCTCTCTGGCAATTCCGACGACTACGATTGAAGCAATCGGCCGGACGTTTGTCCATGAAACAGGGAAGAAGATAAACCAGTGAACTTTATTTAGATTAAATCCCTCAATTTTCTGTTGCTGATTATTGTCATTCTCAATGTCTTTCTCATTTCTACATGAGCCCGTCACATTTAATTTTATTCAATTAGACCCATAGGGCATGATACTACATAGAAAATTAACATTTTATATCCTTAAATTTTAATGATTATTTTGACAGTCTTTTTATCGTTAAAACAGTTTTCAAACATCTTAATACATATTCTATTATTTCACTCAAATATATATTAATTATATATCATAATATATAGTTTATAATATTAATTTTGTTTGTTATCTCCATATGATAAACTTAATTCAAATATCAAATATTAAATAAAGTGAAAATTAACAAATACATAAATAATAAAATAGACAATCACAGTAAAATCAACTTGCAGAATAAATCTGAATATAGATAAAAATAACTGTTTGCATTCTTCATTCCAATTCGATTCAAGCAAGAAATCCGGCGCTTTTATCCAGTCGTCTTCTTCGGTGGTGGTGGAAGATGAAAGAAATCAGAGGGATCGAGAGAGAGATATTTAGTACTTTTGCTCCGGTTGTCTTCTTCGGCAGCGGCAGAAGATGAGAAGAATTAGGGGGATCGAGAGGATAGATATACGACGCTTTTGCTCTAGTCGTCTTCTTCGGCGCAAGTGGAAGATGATATGCTCTCTCTTGTCTTGCGTGTAGCGATTACAGCACCTTCTTTGTCGTGCATGTTCACAGTCGAAGGACTCGTTCTCCATGGTTCGCATTTACTCAGCATCAACCAAGGACCAAACCATGGGTGAACAATAGTAGTTTGTGGCCCTGAGAAACCCATCTACCATCCAGAGGTCGGAGAGAGTGAACAGAAAATAGAAAAAAAAAATAATATAGTTTTAATTTTTATTTAAATAAATAATTTTATATAAAAATAATAACATGGGTAATATTATCATTTAGTTTAGTACATTTCTAATCTATCTCAGTCTGTTTAACGGCCGAGATCTTATATTTTACATCAGTCAGTACAGCAATGTCTGACTGTGGACACACCCTCATGTACCAAGCTCAAAAGGACCTTTCTAGCGTCCGTCATCCCCCGTACCTGATGCACATCAGTCGGGTATTTTGTGGCCGTTGATAAATTACAATAGCTCATCTCAACCATTGATTGTGTGCAGTTTTAGTTTTTTTCCAGGTACAGTCATTTTTTTTTCTTTTATTAATAAGTACAGCAAATTTTTACCGCTGTACTAAACTTAAAGACGAAGTTACCCTTTATATTATATTTTTATAAAAAATTATTAAATGTTACGCATTTTTCCTCTCTCTCTCTCTCTCTCTCTACGTGGCAATTTAGCTTTGTCTTTTAGTGAAATCCACTTCTTTACATTTCTGTTAATCTAGAAAAAAATATAAATTAACTTCAAATTTTAGAAATAAAACTCCTCAAACTTTTTACTTGACAAGAAAAAGTCAAAACGACACCAGCAATACCGATGATGCTACACAACGCC